TGGTCTGAATCTGTTGAGCTTTACATCATATACACTATTACCTTATTACTTATATTAAATTATAATCATGATAAAAGAAAAACCCGTAAACCGTGCACAAAGTATATACTATGTATATTTATGGTTTTAGTTATGTTAAGTCACGTTGGTTGACGATAGATTTCATAATAGTTTTACGTTATCGTCAACGGTGATGCGAAATGCATCATTTTCGATTCGCTGACTTGTCTCGACGGCGCGCGGCGCTGTCTAGCAGAACTGTAAGAGTATTATACCAGCTCAGTGTTCAAAGAAAAATCGAAAACTAGTAATTCCCTGAGACGACCTGCATGTTCTACTAGTTCTATGAAATATTTCTACAATAATTATTAATTAATGTGCGATATATTTTCATTCATATTTTCTTGTTACTATTTAAGTTGACTTTTTTATAATTCTTATACATTGCCAACTATCATACAAATTATGCAATTTAAAAATGTTTAAGGGTTATAAATATCACCCAATCGTCATTGTTGGCCGTATATTTAATTAATAATATTAATAAATAATACTATTTTTTTTTAAATAAATRAAACTACAGTTTGATTTTTATTCCATTATATATTTAATTGTTTTATAATTATATAGTACTTTAATGCATTCGATAACAAAAGCTATTTGAAGATGTAATTAATTTTTTTTTTAATACTACTTAAGTAGTATAATATAATAARCTATTATTCTATAATTATAGAGTATAAAGTAAATTATATGTAACGATAAAAATGTCACGGAGCTTGYTGATTGCCTCGATGTAGTGTTGATCAGGAAACTGCAGCTCATGCATGCCAAATTATGAGCTTTTAATTATAAAGCATTATGAGTCGCTACTTAAATATGCTCCGCAACTACACACGATTGTTTTTAAAAGTACCTCMAAAAAAATGTAGATGTCCATTGCAGTTGCAACGTAACGCGTCGAAAACATGTTGGGATATCGCAATTCGTGTTTATATAATATCAGAAATCACCGATATTGTCGATCAACAAGAAAACGTCGTACGAGCACTAGTACAATAGTAAAGTTAAGTATAGTAATAGTTAATAAACTTTTGACTAATTTAACACAACATGCCTAATATATACGTTAACACTTAACAATATATGGTACCGTAGGTTACTGATATATTGTATGATTATAAAAAATGTAGAATCGTTATGCCTTGTGCGTAAAAGATAGTCTGCAGTAGATGTTTACTGCGAGTCTGCGACAAACCGAAACGCAACGTATATCAGATTATAAATCGATATTTTTCTTACTTCCAACTGGCTGTACCGTCATACGATTCTATCGATATTCTTTCATGAGACGGGTTCCTCAGCAAATTATGTTTAAATGCCAACGTTTATTTTACTTATTACTAATCGTAATGCAATGTATACCGAGCTATAATAAATCGCTACTTGACAACATCTTTTATTATACCTATACTAATAACATCATCGTTACATGTGAAAAAATGTAGATGTGCGGTTGAATCGTTACGCGTGAAAATCATAGTGTGCACAGTATTAGACGTTTACTGCGACAAACTGTAAYGCAATGTATGCTGTAAAAGTACTATAAGTTGCAACTTGATAACGTAAAATCGGAGTTCTCTGAGCGAGACATTCCCGMTTGAAAAATTGTAGTTACTACGGAAAAGCTGGTTGTGAACTTACAAACGTAATCTACTACACGAAACTTCGTACGAGTCAAAATTTAACGTCCAGCGTTTAAAATATCATAGTCGTATTCGTA